AAAAAAAAAAAAGTACCTTGAACCAAAAGTGCAGAGGAGCTTTCTTGTGGTAAATAGATGACTTCCATTTTCTACATGAATCTTTTCCTGCAAGCTTCTCAAACTCAGGTGGACTGTAAAAGGAGCCTTCAAACTCAATACAATCCTTACCTATAGTTATGAAGAAAAACGTAATCGTTTTAATAAAAAATTATTTATTTATTTATTGATTTATATATTTCACTGTATGTACAAAAATAGAAAAAGGAAAGACTGGTAAGACTGGTAAGAAAGGTAAGACTGTACTTACCTTTTCTCAACTTCTCTACATCCATCCAACCCTTTTTGTCTCCACATTTTACACGCCAGAGGTCTGTTTTTTCCAACACCAAAAAAAGGAAGAAGTAATTTCTCCATTAAAAAAATAATGTAAATGTATTTTCATGGTCAATTTACAATGTACTAATAATTTGCAATTGTAGAGGTTGTATAAAGAGAGATGCCAGTTGTGGGAGTATTTCCTACTTTCATTGTAATAGTTGTGATAATGCAAATATTTATAATTCAATTCAGTTTTATTTATATAGCACCAAATCACAACAACAGTCACTTCAATGCATTCTATTGGAAGGTACAGACCCTGCAATAATACAGAGAAAACCCCAAAAATCAGATAACCCCTTATGAGCAAGCACTTTGGTGACAGCGGCAAAGAAAAACTTTTTAACAAGAAGACTCGGGCAGAACCAGGCACAGGGAGGGTCAGCCATTCTGCCATATCTGCCAAAATCATGCAATCACGTAAAATAATTTTAATGTAATTATGCATGTCTTTATCTGAAGGAACAAAAGAAAGGCAGTTTCATTTAGGCATATATATCATATATATGCATTTAACAACTAGGAGGACAATAGAAAACTGCCATGTCTCATTATAGCCTGCAACTTCAACAACTTCAGAAAAATTCTACTGCGTACACAGAAATATATTTTAAATAAATAGATCTTCAGGGTAAAATGACCCGAAGGACTTACTCTTGTCATCTTTATCATCCGTGACTCTCTTTCTTTTCTTCGGGCTAGTTCTTCCTTCTTCCATTTTGTAATTATAATCTATCAACACAGATAAATAAAAAAGTGTTTTTTTTTTCAAATATATGCACCACACTATATGTGGCATTTTTTATATGAGATAAATCTTGCATTTTCTATTAGCTTTTAACATTTTAATCTAATTGTAAGTAATTCTGTTGTTCCTCTGTGGGTGACAGGAAGGAAGGAAAAACTGCCTGTCTAGGCAATGAGACTGAAAACATCTGAATACAAAGATGAAGACTCTTACCACGTACTTTTACCCATATTATCCATATAGCTTAGCCGTTTAGACTTAACTGCTATCACTATCCAAATCAACAAATCTCCTGTATACACAAATGCCCCTTATATAGATATGTGTGTGTGTCTGTGTGTGTGCATGTATATGTATAAACAAAGTTACATTCTGTAATTACAGTAACACTAAGGTCTATAACATCAGAAACCACAGGAGAGCAAATAGACAGCACATCTGTGCATAAGTTCTAGCAATCATACATCCGTTATCCATGCATAAAAACACTATAGGTATATAACTTTTTAAAAAAAGAACAGAGAGGCGAAACACCAGAATAGGGACTTACCTCTGTCGCCGACTAGATAGCAGATGATGTTCCAGAACAGGAAAATGAAACTTAACTTTTCAGTTACACTGGAAAAAATAAACATGCCCAGTCGTTAAGGTGTGTACATTGACTTCCGGTAAAGACGGCAAGTTTTACAGGTAAGACGATTTAAACTGACATTTACAGTCGCTATTTATATATGAGAGAAACCTAAAAA